AAATTTTGCTAGGGATTCATGATGTGTGTCCATCTGTCTCCTCCACTAGCTTGTGAACCTCGAGCCAATTACTACGCAACACCTAGGATGGTGCCTGCCTGGTGCAACTGGTAAGCACTAAATCATTCTTGCTGAATTGGAATTTTAGTTGCAAACTGGTGGACAACAACTGTGTGCAAATGCATTTTTGCTTTTCTTATACATACAAGCAGACATACTATTGGAACCCTACTCCTCCTAAGGCTCTGGAGTGTCAGAGCTGCCTTTCCAGGCCAACCAAGAAACAAAGCTCTTATCCACTCAGTGAGGCGATGGCAAACAAGGGAAAATCATTCTTAAAAATGCATGCTCGAAATTCTCATAATACTAAGCTATGAGGCCAGAACTTTTTGGGTTGTTTCTATTATTCAAAGTGTACTTCAGGATCTTGCAATATTTTAGATTCACTATCATTAATTTTGACTTTCTGATTATTTTGAGACTGGATTTTCATAGTATAAAGTGGAGGGTCCAGCCCATAGCACTAGCACAGTGCCTGGCAAATAGCCAGTGATCAATACATTTTTGTAGAATGAACAAAGGAACAAATGAATGATCGAATAAGATGATCCCCCAAAATTCAAAATAACAGAGTGGAGTTGAAAAGAATTCAGAACATAGATGAAGATTAAACCAAGATGCTATTCATAAAACTTTGTAAAAATTATAGAAAAATTCATACTTACCATAAACATAATTTGAACATTATTTAATTGGACCTAATAGTAATTGGAGTTTAGTAACCAATCAAGACAAATTGTGTTCTCTTTGGATTATTAGGTTGGATGGAAGGGGAAATTTCTATTGTCTTGATCAGACTGAGAACCAGCTTTGGAACTTTAGTAAGTTTTCTAAGTTATTTTTCTATGTGGATTTTTGGTTTTGTTTCGTGAATAGCTTCCTGGTCTTCTAGCAATACCGTCATCTCAGATGTCACCCTGGTAACTATAAAACAATGAATAGATTCTCAAAATAGTCCAGCAACATTTGATATTTTGAAAAAAATCCTGGCTGTATCTGAGAAAGATAGCTAAGAGTGCTTAATACCAGCCATCTCCTTCTGGGTCTCCATCAGTGGGAGAAGACGTGGAGCTATAACAATATAAATAAGATTCAAGCAGCATCAGACTGTTTCAGAGAGCTTGGCTGTTTTTCTCTTGTAGAGTTTGTTCTCGTCTACTATTATTAAATCATCTGAAATCATTAAAACTTCTTGTAACACAGTTTTCCAGTCCATGACTAAACTTCTACTTTCAGGGGCTCTGACACTAGGCAGTCTCTCACTAGCTCTTTCACTAGAATGAGTGTGTGATTCATTCTAAATCACAAGGATGATCAGATGAAATTATTAACAGAATGTGGTTTTTTCCCCCCCTGGTAGATAATGATCTATTGGAAACAAAGATTAAGATAATCTGCTTTATTTTGCATGATTGATGGTGTTGATTCCAGCCATCTCCTCTGATCAATACAGGCTATAATTTTGTGGCATTAATGAGAAAGGACTTAATAAGCAGCTCTCCTTTCATTGTGTAGGTTTTGCTGCCATACAAAAGACCAAAGTCTTCTGAACAGGAAACTTCCATTCCATAACAGTAGGCCTAACTCGATTTGTGGATTACACCTCTAGAGCTCAGCAAGTAACAAATTCATCATTTTTTTTTTCCTACTGAGGCATTTCACCTTCGTATCTGAATTTCACAACTTGTCTTGATTAATGCTGATGTGCTGAACACTGCTGCGTTAAGTCATATATCTTGCAAAGAGCCAATTGGAGCAATAATTCATATATCTCCTAGAGAAAAGTTTTTTAAAACTCTCAGTGCAATACTCGGATTAATCTTCTATGATATCCTAATGCTTTTTGCAAATGGCAGTTTTCCATGTGATTGTTCTTGTCTAGGATTTTTTTCCTATTATGTTAGCTTAACAAAAGCAAGGTATCTGCTTCAAAACTCCATACAAACAACAGGTATAGATGAAGTAGTTTTACATGCTAGTTATTAGTGTTTGAGAGCAATATTTTATAAAATCTACCTCATTACCCCAAAGCAATTTTTACTACTATCTTTTTCCACTTAATAAATTTTAAATATGAATATGTAATAAAATGTGTTAGTGTCTGTGTGCCAACCTTTTAAGCTAGTAGTTATTTACCCAACTAAACTCAATAACGATAAACTTTACAGAACTTTATTTCTATTTAAGAAACAGTGATTCAAGATGGTCAAACTCTCCCCACCTTTCCTTGAACTACACTATGGCATGTCTGTGAAAAATAAATCCTATATTATAAGTGAGTTATGATAATTAAGCCATATCCTCACAGAGGCAAAAGGTTGATGGTAAATTATCCAATAGAGTAAAGTGATTTTAAATACAGTCACCGGGAATTTAATAAGTTGTTAAGTGGTGTCTTGATTTTTAAATCGTATAAAAGTCATTTGCTTTACTTTCTATTCTGAGCACCTACCCCAATGTATGGCATGTAGTGTTCAAGAAATATCAACCAAATGGTCACAGAATGTTTTAAGAGACTGGTGAGAAAGTCTTTGACTTGTCCACTAGGTGGCACACAGGGACCGTGCTTCACACCTTTAGCTGCCACAGACCTTCCCATTCACAGTGTAATAATAAAGAGATGCATTATTAATTTATACCATCTCCTCCTTTCCACACCTAATAATTGTTTAACCAGCTGTTTCCTCTAATCCTCCTTAAACACCGTTGATTAAAATCCTAAATATATTCATGTCTCCATCCCTCCCTACTTCCCCCAACAGCATTTTGTTACCTTTAAATGACAGGCTAAGTACATTTAAGTGACTTAGACTAAGTGCTGAGGTTACTAATAATGGCTGTAGGATGTCATAAAATTAATTTAAGCAACAGGAGGAGACTATTATATAAAAGTTATTTTCAAATTTGCCTTGAATTTTGTTGGAATTTAATTTTTTATTATCTTAAAATGCAATCTGGAAAATAAAATGTGCATGGGGCAGAAGGAAATGAAAAGAAAGTAATTTTATGAATATAACTCTTGTTCATCTTTACAAAAATGCAGTGCAGTGCTACCTTAAGATTCAAAAGAAATCTTCAACTGCTCAAAAAATACCAATATTCCACACCCAAAATGCTAAAAGGCAGGATTGTTTAGTAGACTGTCTACTCATAAAGTATCTTTCTGCGTTCTCCAAATGTGTTTATCCTGGATGTGTTACTTGTTCCCAAAGGAAGGAAAAGGAAGTGAAACCACTAGGGATATAATGAATTGATTCTTCTCTGTGAAAGTCTCTTCAGTACTTCTAAATTACAGTGTCAGTCATTCCTCTGAGAGACAGACCCTTGCAGAAAATAAATGGCTCACTTTATAAGAACATGATGTTTCCCACTTTCTTATTTCCCATAGAAAGCCCAGGCCCACCAGGGCGTTCCTGTTTGGAATACTGGCCTCTGGGTACATTCCTCCTTTGGACCAGTGGTCTATTGAGATTGTTGGTTTTCTCTTGCTCATTTAATTAGCTTTAAGCAAATTACTTCTTATGTAGTTCTCCTATTTTTAAGCTGTTTCAATTTAGTGAAGAGGTCACCAAAAAAATATAAACTCATTCTCTTAGCTGAAACAATTAAATTTTTAAGAACAGGTAGTACAAAAGTGACTACAGACTAAAGCTTAAATGGTCACTAGTTAATTGGCATACATTCTATACTACTGAATGCATTCTATACTACTGAATGGAAGGAAAAATTTCTTTCATTTGTATATAAATAGAATCGAAGTTAAGAACTGATGTAAGAATTAAGACATATCATGTTAAAAGTTCCAAAGAGAACTACTATGATATATTTTTCGTAGAACAATATTCCCACTTTATGATTCCATTAAAATATTGAAGTCACTGAAATGTGTATGAAATTATTGCAGATTTAGTACACTGAAATAATCAAATAGAACTGGTTACAGAGACTACCTTTGCAATGAATAAGTATTACATTCATTTAGAAATTAATTCACAGGCTTCATTTCTTAAGAACCGTTAGCTTCCAAGAAGCTAGCCAGTATGTTTGATTTTATGACATCACGCTGGAACATGTACAGGAACACTTTCCACCCTAAAAATTCTCAAATGTCCTGGCCACTGTGTGTATTTTTCCAGTGATAAATGAAAATAAAACAACTTATTTTCAAATTAATAAACCATCTTATTTTGAACACAACATTCATATTCAATGGAAGAAAACTACTTAATCCAAGCCCCAAAGAGTTCAGGTTTGCTTATGGTTGTAAACAGTCTCAACCTATAAATAATTTCTTTAAGCAACTTTTTAAAATAATCTAAACTATGACTTTAAATTTTTTCAGTGTATTAAAATTATCCATCAACATCATTCTATTTATGAAATGCATCAAAATTCTATCATCTTAATTTCATAATTAGCTGGACAAGCCTGGACCCTAAAAATGGTAACATTTCAAAGATTATTGATCTAACAGGTATTCCCTATGACTAAAGTAACTGTCTTTTCCACATAAACCTATATATTCCCTAAAACAAAACTCATAAATCTGGTTGGACATTCCCATTCCTCAGCTCTTCCTTCAGCTTATACTGTCCTTTTATCATCTCAGGTGCTATAAAAATGCTTCTTGAAATACAGATGGAAAAGTCACCACTTGGAAACCATAAGCCTACCAGATTTATAGAAGCATCACCAAAAGCCGGGATACTAGAGTTAATTCTTTCCCCAATTCTAGACTGAGTCTGTTTATTGCAATACAATATTTTATCTGACAATATGGACCTTTAAAAAAGGTTGAGATGTTATGTTAAATTCAAACGAAAGCTAAAGAAAAGAATAAGAAAAGTTGTTTAATGTATACAGACATTATATATGTACATATGAAATCTTAAAGGCACCAGGTATGACAGAAAGAGGGGAAAAAATTACGGAAGTTTTACCTTGTCCTGAAATCCAGAAATTCAGATGCTCTCAAGTCCTGCTTAAGTTGGAAGCTGGAGATCAAGTGAAGCTAGCGCTCTTTCTCCTCACCTTAAGTTTGCCTCTGGGCTAGTGTGTGTGTGTGTCTGTGTGTGCGCAGAATGTCTCTTTGTGGCGCTGGATGGCAGAGGTCCTGGTCCTGGGAAGAAGGAGGCACTTTCTCACCAAGAGCAGAAGAAAAGCAAAGCGTCACCAGGAAAGTTCTCCTCCCAGATCCCCTAATTACAGCCTAACGTGCACTTCATGCTAACTTCAGGGAGGAAGGGAGGGGCAGGTCTGTGCCCAGACCCTGTAAAACAGCAGCCTCTTAGATGACTTTCCCCTCTGCGCAGATCCCCGAGTGAGAATCCCGCTCTGGGGTTCAGGAAAATCGGCAGCTATCGCCGCGGGCCCCCACCCACGGCACACCTCCTCCACCCCCGCCACCGCGGCGTCTGTCCAGAGCGGACGGGGCAAGGGGTCTGGGAAAGGGTCTGTGGGGCAGCGACGTGAGGCCGACTCCCCAGGACAGTCCATTTTTGCCTGATTTTATTAGGCTCTGCTTCAAAGGAGAATCCAAGGGTAACAGAGGTTCTCCCTTTCCCGCCTTCTCTTCAAAGTAGACCCAGGATACTAGATAGACGGCGCAGCACATAAAGCTTCCTAAACTGGAAGTGTCCTTCCAGCCAAATCGCCAGAAACATATTTGCTTGTTTATTGGACTCGGTATCGGTATTGGGTTTAATTCTCCCTTAACAAACAACTGCTGTTGTATCCCTAGATGACAGAGCTCAGAGAACCTGGGCTTATTTGTAGAATGAGGAATGCGAGGGGGAGACGGGATAGGTGGGGTTGGGTCGCGGATCCATACCCAGGATTAGAACCAGATGGGCACAGGGCGCGCGGGCGCGCACACACCGCGCACATCTCTCTCTCTCTCTCACACACACACACACACACACACACACACACACACAGCCCTAAAATAACTTCTGGGGAAGACGCTGGGACACGCGGGAAAACGCCTCCTGAACAAATAGACATTTATTTATAACTCCGGGGAGAGTATATAGGTCCATTGATTCCCGCCTTGAGTAACCAAGGGTTTGGAGAGGAAATGGCTTCATATTTCAATAACAGAGCCACCTTTGATGGAGCCTAGGAAGGGGAAAAAAAGAAGCACACCGCAGGAAGCAAACGGCTGTTGCAGCAGCGGGGAGGAGGGAGCGGGGCTGGCCCGGGGACTGAGGACAAGCAAACGAGCCCGCGGGGCCCACAGCCAGGCAGGAGGCGAGACGCGGGCCGCCGGGGCGTGCAGGGCCTCGAGGCCGCGCTGCCGCTTTTCGCCCGCGGGCTCGTGGGGACGGCCGCCGCCGCTCAGTGTGGGGCGCCGGTGGGGCAGGGGGACCCGGGGGGCCGAGGGGCTGGTGGGGCCGGGGGAGCCGTGGGCAGAGGAGCCAGTGGGGCCGGGCGGTCAGTGGGGCGGCGGTGCAGGTGGGACGGGGGGCTGGTGAGGCGGCGGAGCCGGCGAGCAAACCGGCGGGCAGGGCACCGGCGGGCAGGGCGCGCATCAGCGTCGCGTCGTTGGCGGCGAGCGGCGCTATTGTCTTAGAGATGGAGCCTGGCTCCGCCGGCGGGAAAGAGATGGGGCCGGAGGGGAAGGTTGGGGCGGGGGCGGCTTTCTTCCCGCCTTTCTTTGATGCATTTCACCGGTTCCTGCCTCCAGGCTCGCCCTTGCCATTAGGTCTTTGGTAAATTAACACCTGCCTCTTGGAAAGATTTTATTCCAAAGACAAACCAAACCCTCACTAAATGAAGATAGTTATATTCGAAAGGAAATAATGAAGAATGAATCCTTCAACGGGCAATTCAACACCTTTTTTGGAATTCCGAAACCTGGGCAAGGCGCCTCTATTCATATTTTTCTGTTTCTCCAAACACGGAACAGGCTAAAGGTTTTGCAATTTTATGTCGTTAATTTAGTGGCTATTGAGACAGCTGTTATGTAGGCCCCTACATCTACTGCCAATAAAAATAAGATGCATTTCTGCTTTTCAACTATGAAAAGAGTTTTTATGCTGTTTCTTCTAAATGTTTAGGATGATGTGTATTTAGAAGAACATAAAGGAATTAGACTTAAAACCGAAAGAAATATATTAAAGCGCCATAAAGGTGGTGAGGCTGGTGGTGTGTCGCTTTGAAATCACATAAAGGCAGTTTAAGTACCGATCTTGTTCCCTCAGCTTAAAAACCTAATTTCTGGCCGTTGCCTGGGGAGTAAATCGGATCAGCTATCCTGTGGATGGCACTTGTTCCCCTATTTTGTGGTCTGCTCTATATAATTATTCCAGTACAGCATTAAAAGAGTTTAATGTATTCTCCACAGAAATTGTTTATTAACCACACAAGACAACCTGGTTTGCAACTTAGTCACACCATGGTGAGCTACACTAGAATTTTGTTCAATTTCAGGTATAATCCCAACCATCCAGCTAGATTTTCAGAAATAATAAGAGCTGCTTACCTCTGCTGCTCCTGACAAGAGTCATGTCGTCACTACTTCTCCGTCACTACTTCTCCGCGCCTATTTCCAACCTCCCCTTCCAGTTAAAAGATCTAGTCTTTGTTAAAAGATCCCCAGTCTTTTAAATTACAAATATTTAACCTGTCAATAGTGCATGTTTTAAGTATTATTCAGGCTTAATTTAATTGACATTATGTACATTTCCATTCATTTTGAGGTTCACATGGTTTACTAATTATTTAAAATTTACATTGGAATTAGTTTTAAGAGTCTTTTAAAAGATTTTTGTGTTTAGTTAATTAATGTTCAGCTAAATAGTGCTTTATGGAGGTATACATTACTTTGATTAGCCATTATAACTTTTCATCAGGGCACAGGCATTATAACAAGCTATGGTAAAAAATATCGAATCAGGTAAGTAAATAAATAAATACAATTTTTTTCATGACTTTAAATATTTTACAAAGTTATAAATTGTAAAAAAGAAATTAGAAGATCCGAATATCTTTTCAAAGAAAATCGTGTCAAAAAAGTATTCCGTATTTGAAGATTCCATTTATTAACATTAGTAATTTATATGGAAACTGATATCTTTCATTGCATATTAAGATTTGTTCTGTTTTGTGTGATTTTTTTTATTTGAGGAAGGCAGGGAGGCCAGCTTTTTTAAGTTTCAGGAAAAAATCAAAGATTTTCTTCCATATTAATTTTTAAAATGATTTATGTCTAGAAAACTAGTCACAAATTCAGAGCTAATAGGTTTATATATATGTATATATATATATCAGCACATTTTGAAAAGATTTTGTTTAGCATAATACAAAACTTTTATAAGAATGAAAAATATGTCAAGTGGTGTTATAAAATGTAACTTTACATTCTTTTACTAATTGTAAGACAATATTAGTAATTATGTTGAGCCAGATAAAATGGAAAATTCAACCTTTTTTGACTCACCAAAAGAAGCAATTTCAGCTGGTTTTACGTTATATAAATTTGAATATGTACATAGGATAAACATAGCAAGAACATTTTCAACATTTAAAATTATCAATCTAAAATATCATGAATCTTTAATATGTAATAAATTCTCAAGCAAAATGGTATTCTTCCTGGCCTATTATACTCCTAATGAAATATACATTTATATTCACAAGGAGATTATCTAAATTCATCTCCTCTTCAAACTCAGAATGAGGCTGCTCTATTATCCACTGAATTCCAGAAAATTGCTTCCCTATGAGCTCTTTTTTCCTGGAATTTTTGCCTCAGGCTAATATTATACCTGGTTGAACATCTGCTAGGATGAAGATGCAGGTACATGCACGTGTGAGGTACGGGAGCGGGGAGGAGGAGGGAGGAAAGCCATTTGACCTTTCCTGTCTAAGGGCTCAGAACTTCATTAAAGCACCTCTTGGGATTGCGGGCATAACCATGAGAAAGACATCATTTGTAATTAAGTCCTTTCCACTGGCTATATTCCTGTTGAACTCGATGATTAAAATACAAATTCAATATTCTAAGTAGTCACAAAGCATTTGATAAAAGGTCATTTTGCTTTTAATGCAATGGGGGGGATGACTTTCCAAGGGCCCACTTTTTTGTGCTCATTCTCAGAGAGTGTCCTGCAGACAGACCCTTCAAAAGGGCAAACTAAATAATTAGGCAATAAATTGTTTAAATGTTAAGAGCAGAGCTGTTCCACAAGCTAGTGAGGCCAGATGAATCTCATACCAAGTGATAAATATCCTCAGCTCCTGAGAAGTAAGCACCTACATATCCCCATGTTTGTCTGTTGGATTGGTTTTGGTTGTACAGCATCATCCATTACCTTCCTTGTAATCTATTGTTCTCTCAGTGTGTTTGTGTTGCCCAGAAGGCCCAAACTCTTCCTTTGCTTTTGAATAAATTGATGTTTCATTATTATCTAGATTCTATTCATTTTGCAAGGGGGCCCTGATTCAGTCTCATCTACTTTGTCATGCTGTCTTTGATTGCCCTAACATTAGGAATCTTCTTCCTCTGTCACAATTACATATTACTGACAAGAGCACTCATTTGCTGCCTTTATGCTGCCTTGTACTTTTATTCATATTTTCATGTATTTAATTCTTTATCAGGTGCACCATAAACTTTCTGAGGGCAGATATTCTATCTTTCCCTTTTCAGTTTCTAGCACACAGCCTTGCTGTTAGAAGCTGATCAAAAAATGTTTATTGCTATTTTGACGATGATGACATTCTTTATATTCAGGAGAGAAAATAAAAATAATTGAGGAAAGCCAGTTATCGAATGAACTAGTTGGAGTATTTTGCATCTAATAGCCAAAGGCATAAATAATAAATCATTGAAGGTTGATTAGAAATTTTATCATTATTATTGATCTTACAGAATTAAAAGAAACAGAATACATATTTTTCTTCCATGCTTGGTTGATGAGTGATTGTATAAATGTTAATCAACAGAGGTAAAATGTTTTACTCTCTTAAGATACTAGGTTTAATTCAGTGACAAAATAGGGTTATTGTCTTAGAATTACAATATCAGTCACTTAAATACTGATTTTTTCTCTTGTATTTATATCGTTCTTATATTTGAAACAGTTATAACTCTCAGTTAACTCTCAGTAAATGTAGTCCTCATTGCATTTTCTTCTTGCTCTTTTTTCTCATAACCGTCAGAGAAAAAGGCTGTCAAGTCTAATTGGGCTGGAGTGATTTATGTATAGAT